AAGAACCACGTGCCCAGAGTGTCCTTCTCCAAAGAGAGGACCCAGACAGCTCACTCTTCACCACACAAAAACTCTTCTCCTTCCTTGACTATTACTTTTAATCAAAGCCAATAACCCCAGACACATGCTGGTCACCCAGCACACCCCAGCCTGGCTGCTGGCACCCTCAGCAAAGGCACCTGGCCCAGGAGATGGGCTGGAGAAAGCAGGAGAGTGTCACCCATGTGGTGTCAGACAGTGAGACCTGCAGGAGCTGCTGGCAGAGGGATGGGAGATGCTCTGAAACCCTGTGCCTTGGTGTGCACATCAGGAAAATGGGTATAATCCTATTTACCTGCCTCCCCCAGAGCTGGCTGTGGTGTTTGATTCATGCTGGGAGCTTGGCTGGTGACTCCTGGATGAATGACACTATATAAATGCAAAGTGTTATTAATATTTCATGTTGTAGCGAAAATGTACTAATGGGGGTTGTTCCTGGAAGATAAAACACTGCCATTAATACACTCTGTGTCCCCAGCACCTTGGGCTCTCACGGGCTGGCTGGTTTGGGCTGATGGAGGGTGCAGCCCTCAGCACCCCCCTTCTGCCCCTGCAAACTGGAATCTCCAGCACATTGGAGTGCTGGGGTGGGAGCTCAGTGCTGGCCAGCCTGGCTCAGAGGCTGCCCCAGGAGCCACTGGCTGGTCTTGGGCACTGGTGCCTGGTGCCACCTCTGTCTGAGGGTGAGACCAACCCAGCAGCTCCTGCTTCTTGCTTCACCTCCCTCTGTGCTCTTCTCTCTTGTTTATTTGGTTTGTGCTTCCACCAAGTGTTTGCCAGGCAGATGGGGGTGATCCCCCCTTTGGCTCGGGGGATGTGGAGGAAAGCTGGGTGGCCTGTCACCTTCTCACCTCAGAGCAGGGCAGGGGACACAGGTGGCCACATCCACACTCCCCGGAGGGCCATGAGATGCTGCAGAGGGGTGAGATGTGCCCTGCCTGGAGCCCAGCACCAGCAGGAGCTGCCCAGCACTGCCACTCCCCAAAAGAGGGGATTTTTAACCCAGAAGCAGCAAGCCAGGAGAGCCCCTTGGGCAGCCACAAGCCTGGGGGTGCCTGGGGAAGAACATCCCTCCCACTGTTGTCCCAAAAGTGGGGTCAGGAGCCAATCAGAGGCAAGAGATTTGCTTTAATATGCAGGTCTGAACAGGGGGATGTTCCACAGAGCAAGCTCACCTTCCCAAAATGCAAGTGCTACTTTTATACCCCAAAATGTGAGAAAGAACTTTATCTCACACCCAATGGGTCACTAATCCCTCCCTTCCATTCCAGGTGGCAATGCTCAGGAATTTCCCTGTGCCTGCCCAAACAGTGGGAGGGCTGGTTGGTAGCAGGGGTCCCTCTAGCCTGTGGGTGTGAGTTTTAATCTGCTAATGGATCATTAATATATTAATATGGTGATTTCAATTACTCAGTGATTTTTTTCCCCAGTGCTCAAGGCTGTAACCAAGACAAGCTGTGGGCAGAGCTCCTGTCCATCCCTTCCTGCAGGCCTGTCTCAAAGGCTGGTGACTCCTTGGGGATAGTTCTTCTCTAATTGGAATCTGGTTTTGTCTAATTCTTACCTGTTTCACTGCTATCTAGGCCCTGTTTTTATTCTGTGTGTCCCTTAACGATCTCTTTTATCTGGGTTTTTTCCCAAATGTGATTTTTCCTCCCCCCAAATTTTACTTATTCCAATCAATATCTGACATCCCCTCCTCTGGGATGGGTGCTGCTCCTCATGGAGGGGACACCCCCCAGGAGCCCCCCTTGCTGCCACAGCCACCACACAGGCACGTTAAAAAAACAAACAAACACACAAAAAAAAGGGCTCATTTGATTTCAAACTGCAGAACTCTTCCCCGGAGCCACCAGCAAACACTGGTAATTTATTTTACAGCTGTTTAGATTTGTTTCTCTCCTTTTTTTTTTTCCTTTTTTTTTTTTTTTTCACCCCAGAGGAATTGCAAACGAACATGTGTTTGCTCCTCCAATGCCTCCAGCATCCCCTGAGCTCCCGGGTCCCAGGCAGCAGCACCTGCTCCTCGGACCCCCACCCAACAGCCCCCAGCCCTGCTTTGTGCTCCCCGAGCTGTACGTTGAGGGTCAGGGCTCAAAAAGGGGGTTGTTGGAGCTGGAGGCTCATCCTGGGAGGGCTCCTGAGCTCTGGTGATGGGATGAGGCTTGTGCCAGCCTGCAGGGGAGGGGAGGACAGGAAAACAGGTTCATTCATTCCCGGTGAAGGAATCAAGTGCCGCCCGCCCGTCTGAAGGTGGGGAGGGATAAAGGCTCTTCTGAGTTCCTGCCGCGGTGCGAATCTTGAGTGAAAAGGGATTTAAAAGGGAGGTGTTTGAGCAGCTCCCGGTGCCTCGGGCCATGTCACCCCTGCAGGTCTGAGCCAGTGGCATGGAAAATTCCTTTGTAGATTAAACCGGGCCCTGGCAGCCTTCGGGGACACGTGGGGGAACTGCCTCCAACCTCGTCCCTTCCCCCTGGGAATCTCCTCCTCGCTCCCAGGGGATGACTCGGGCGGTGCCGGCTCCGCTCGCACCGGGCGATGCTGCTGGTGCCGCGGGCGGGCACCGACGGGCGGCACCGGCCTGGGCAGGTGAGGGGCACGGAACCCACCTGGGCTGCAGCCCCCGGCCCTGAGAAGGTGGGTCTGTCACGCGCTGCGGGGCCCGGCCTGATGCCGGGGTGATGGGCACGTCCCGGGCTGCTGGCGGAAGCAGGGAAGGAGAAAAATGGGGGTTGTGTGTGTGTGTGTGTGTGTGTGTGTGTCTGTGTCTGTGTCTGTGTCTGTGTCTGTGTCTGTGTCTGTGTCTGTGTCTGTGTCTGTGTCTGTGTCTGTGTCTGTGTCTGTGTCTGTGTCTGTGTCTGTGTCTGTGTCTGTGTCTGTGTCTGTGTCTGTGTCTGTGTCTGTGTCTGTGTCTGTGTCTGTGTCTGTGTCTGTGTCTGTGTCTGTGTCTGTGTCTGTGTCTGTGTCTGTGTCTGTGTCTGTGTCTGTGTCTGTGTCTGTGTCTGTGTCTGTGTCTGTGTCTGTGTCTGTGTCTGTGTCTGTGTCTGTGTCTGTGTCTGTGTCTGTGTCTGTGTCTGTGTCTGTGTCTGTGTCTGTGTCTGTGTCTGTGTCTGTGTCTGTGTCTGTGTCTGTGTCTGTGTCTGTGTCTGTGTCTGTGTCTGTGTCTGTGTCTGTGTCTGTGTCTGTGTCTGTGTCTGTGTCTGTGTCTGTGTCTGTGTCTGTGTCTGTGTCTGTGTCTGTGTCTGTGTCTGTGTCTGTGTCTGTGTCTGTGTCTGTGTCTGTGTCTGTGTCTGTGTCTGTGTCTGTGTCTGTGTCTGTGTCTGTGTCTGTGTCTGTGTCTGTGTCTGTGTCTGTGTCTGTGTCTGTGTCTGTGTCTGTGTCTGTGTCTGTGTCTGTGTCTGTGTCTGTGTCTGTGTCTGTGTCTGTGTCTGTGTCTGTGTCTGTGTCTGTGTCTGTGTCTGTGTCTGTGTCTGTGTCTGTGTCTGTGTCTGTGTCTGTGTCTGTGTCTGTGTCTGTGTCTGTGTCTGTGTCTGTGTCTGTGTCTGTGTCTGTGTCTGTGTCTGTGTCTGTGTCTGTGTCTGTGTCTGTGTCTGTGTCTGTGTCTGTGTCTGTGTCTGTGTCTGTGTCTGTGTCTGTGTCTGTGTGTCTGTGTGTGTGTGTGTGTGTCCCGGGCTCCTGGTGCCCGTGCCCGGGAGCGTTGCTGGGCTGGTGGGAGCAGCAGGATGTGTTCACCCCAAGAGCGAGGGGGGGGACCTTGTGACTTTGCTGGTGCGTACAATGTGAGAGCTGGTGCCACACGCAGCCCTGAGAACCCTCCCGGCTGCAGCCCCGCACGCTGTGGGTGCGTTTGTCCATCGTGGAGCCACCCGGGAGCTCAGCAGCCGTCGGGGGTCCCAGTGCTGGGCCAGGCTGTGGTTATGGGGGCACCCAGCCCTGGGGCAGCACCTCGGTGTTGCCTGGGGACGTGCAGGGTTAGGGTTAGGGTTAGGGTTAGGGGTTAGGGTTAGGGTTAGGGTTAGGGTTAGGGGTTAGGGTTAGGGGTTAGGGTTAGGGGTTAGGGTTAGGGGTTAGGGTTAGGGGTTAGGGTTAGGG